TCAATCAACAAATGCATATCATCGTTGAGTTTGTATATGTCAGCGTAACACCCTTGGCTCCGCTCATGTAGATAAAAATCAACTGCGGTCTTAGCCCAAAGGGTATTATCCAGAATTGTTTCCGGTAGTTGTTTCCTCTCCACTTCATCTGCCGGAATGGTACTGGCCGGTAACTTATACGAAAGCCAACAGTCATCCATCACGTCCGGCACGTGAGGGGGCTTCTCAATAATTCGATATATTACGCCGTGTGAATAGGGCTCTAGAATGTTGGGAGGGACCTCTTCAACGATGACAGTGGCCTCTTGAACGGTGGGAGGGGACTTTTGAGGGATGATAGGGGCCTCTTGAACGATAGGGGAGGCCTCTTGAACGATGACAGGTGAGTCGGGCTTTTTCTTACGGATTCTTCGCACTATTGGGGTAAACGGAGACGTAATGGCAAGTGCACGCCGTCTGATGCGTGAACTCCGTCTTACAAGAAAAACCCGACGTAGAGCATCCACCTTAGCGGGCCGCTAAAAATAAATTAATACATAAATCAATAAACAAACAGACATGATATTAAACAGTGAGAACAAAGACAAATATATTTAAAACTTGCACGGTATTCACCCAAGTCATTACTATATCATTGTTCACAAAATGCATCAGATAACATTCCAGAAGTAAGCACTTGTATAAACATTTAAAAGGATAACATATAGGTTTAGTGCAGGTTCAATGACAACATAAAGAGTAGTAGTTTATTCTTGAAACTTAAATTTTCAACACTGTGAAGTTAGTATTTGTCTTTTGGTTGAAGTAATGCAATTCATTCAAGTTTCAATTTGCAGAAGAAGAATAGAATCTGAAACTTAAAATCACAACGCGAAAATGACTATCGCAATGCGAATTTGACTATCGCAACGAGAGAATCGCAATGCAAAATGAAAATCGCAACGCGATTATAGTTTCGCGTTGCGATTTTGGTTTCGCGTTGCGATTTTCATTTCGCGTTGTGATTCTCTCGTTGCGATTCATTTCGCGTTGCGATAGTCATTTTTCACGTTGCGATTTTAAGTTTCGTGTTGCGAAAGTAAACTATTTCTTCTTCTGCAAATTGAAACATGAATGGATTGCATTACTTCAACCAAAAGACAAAACAAAGACAAATACTAACTTCAGAGTATTAAAGAATACACAGTTTAGCAGAATTGGCAGCAACCGAACAAATTTACTTTCAACCAAAAGACAAAACAAAGACAAATACTAACTTCACAGTGTTAAAGAATACACAATTTAGCAGAATTGGCAGCAACCAAACAAATTTACTTTCAACCAAAAGACAAAACAAAGACAAATATTAACTTCATAGTGTTAAAGAATACACAGTTTAGCAGAATTGGCAGCAACCGAATAAATTTACTTCAACCAAAAGACAAAACAAAAGACAAATACTAACTTCACAGTGTTAAAGAATAAACAGTTTAGCAGTATTGGCAGCAACCGAATAAATTTACTAAGCAATCTAAGTGAAATGGTTAATCTATGTGAAATTACGAGTAAATTTATCATCAAGTTAAATATGGAAAATCTTAAACTTACCTCGTTGCGTAGAGTATGAACCTCATTCTGCAACGATAATACCATCTCACGTAGAGCGGTAACCTCACCACGTAAAGTAGACACCTCCACACGCCATGCACCATCGTGATCGCGTAGAGTATCGATCTCCTCACGCAAGGCATTGACCTCATCACGTAACTCCCGTGACTCATCCCGTGGAGGTGGAGAACAGGGAGATAGAAGTCGTGGCATCTTTTCCGGTCGCCTATCATGAGGTGATGGTGGAGAAGAGGCTCGATGATGTGACGGGATAGGTGATGGCTCTCGTTGTAGATGTGTATAGTCGGGTCGATCAGGTGATGGCTCTGGGTGAGGTGATGGCTCTCGAAGTGGAGGAAGTGGAGGCTGCTCATCATTCGTGCCATCAAAAAAACGCTGACTAGCTTGCCACCAATCAGTGGCAAGCTCAGCCTCCGTGGGTGTCAGTCTCTGTAATGGAGTGTTGGCCTCCTAAAAATATAAAAACTCAAACAAAGTTAAATGTCTACTATTAATAACTTGTTTATATATGATAGTATTTGTGTTAACTTACATTATTTATTATCGCATATGGTATTAAGTCTTCCCAATCCAACAGACGTTTCCTCTTCCAGGAAATAGCCCTAGGAATATCATTTGAAGTTTTTAATGCATATGTCCGCATGCTGGGGAAAGCCTTGAATATTCAAATCTACAAACAATATAATAACAAACATTAGTAATTGTTAAATAATTAATTATAATTTTGAAAACATTATATAGAAATTCTTACCTTAAAGGCCCAAACAAAGCCTGACAAAGTGTATTTCGACCCATCGCCACGCAAACTTTTGCGGTCATCAAAGGCAGACGACAACTTAGTCCAGGTAGCTTTCCATATATACGAACCCCACGGAAACAGATTCCATGCATTTAGGTCCTCTACCAATAATATTAGCTCCTGAGGAATAGGTTGTCTGGCCTCTCTGCCAAAAAAACCGGCATACAAAAGTACTAGAAGGCATACTCTGACAACATCGACGTCATTCATCCGAGTAAAACCATCTTTCTTATTAAACAATTTCTTCAGGTCGTCGACGTATAAGTTCGTCTTCTCTATTGACTCATCAGGAAAAACCTGGGATAACCATGATGGGCGGGTGATATGACGAGTGTATCGGCCTACATCATCGTGTCCGAATCGTAGACCAGTGATTAAGCAGAACTCCTTCCGCCCAAAACAAGTATACGCCGGTGGAAAATGAAACCATATCTCTTCCTCGCCACGTTGTATACTGTCGGGTAGATCGCTAGTCATGGTTTGAAGCCACAAATGGGTCAAATTAGCATCTCCACCCGGATGCTGTACTCTCAGCCATGGCCCGAAGCAAGTTTCCTCAAACAATTTTCTTTGTGCAGGTGAAAGCTTCGAAGCAATTGTAGTGGCTAGGCTAACTTTATTCCTTAATGTCAATGAAGCCGAAAAAAATTTCTACAAAAACAATAAACATACCAAGTTAGATATACCAAAAACTATACTGTGAAGATATACCAAAAACAATAAACATAAAGAGTAGTAGTTTATTCTTGAAACTAAAATTTGTAACACTGTTTTGTCTTTTGGTTGAAATGAAAATCGCAACGCGAAATTAAAATCGCAACGAGAGAATCGCAACGCGAAATGAAAATCGCAATGCGATATTGGTTTCGCGTTGCGATTCTCTCGTTGCGATAGTCATTTTCGTGTTGCGATTTTCATTTTCATGTTGCGATTTTAAGTTTAGAAACTATTCTTCTTCTGCAAATTGAAACTTTAATGGATTGCATTACTTCAACCAAAAGACAAAACAAAGACAAATAATAACTTCACAGGATTAAAGACTAAACAGTTTAGCAGTATTGGCAGCAATCGAATGAATTTAATAAGAAATCTAAGTGAAATGGTTAATCTATTATTGAAATTACCAGTAAACTTATCATCAATTTCAATATGAAAAACCTAAAATAATACAAAATTTTCAAAATAAAAATAATTAAAAAAAACTAACCCTCGAATGTTGATTTTCCATTTCTGAATGATTGTGAGGGATTTCTGACCGTGAATGGTTGTGAGGGATTTCGCCGGAGATGGGGAAGAAAATCTTCGGAGATGGGGACGGATTTTGCCGTAGAGAGTGAGAGATGGAGATGGGACTGAGTTGTGATTTTAGGTTTTAGGTTATGAGTTGCGATTACGGGATTTACTGTGGACGGTTCATTGTTTCGATAATTAATATTCGTGTTTGAAATTTGAAAATAAAATACGCGTAGCGATTCTAATGGCGTTTTAAAAATCGCGTTGCGATTTACAGATACGCGTTGCGATTTTACGTATTGTCGTTGTGATTTACAGATACGCATTGCGATTTACGTATTCTCGTTGTGATTTACATATACGCGTTGCGATTTACGTATTCTCGTTGCGATTTACGGATATGTGTTATGATTTTACGTATTGTCGTTGTGATTTACGGATACGCGTTGCGATTTTACGGATACTCGTTGCGATAGTCAGAATCGCATTGTGATTTATATGTTCGCGTTGCGATTTTCATATTCGCGTTGCGATTCTGAAAAATCGCAATGCGAATTTGTACTATCGCATTGCGATTCTGGGAACTGATTTGCGATTCTGGAGATCGCGTTGCCATTTTTATTTCGCATTGCGATTTTGTTGGTCATTTTGACAAATACAAAAAAAGTTAATTAAAATCATATATTATAAAATATTTTTGATCACTGAGGTGATTTTCTCTAAAAAAAAAAAAAAAATTAGTTAATCTTATTTAAAATGTTAAAGTTTATAACATTTTGAGATGACGTGGTAAGTGTTAATAAGCTGAATTTAGTGTTTGAGGTAAATTAGATGGCGTGACTGGACTCCGAACCACTGAGGCCCGCTGTTTGGCTTGCACGCTGCAGGACCTTCCACGCCTCTTTCTTTTAACTCTAAATCTGATTGAAGGACCTGACATGTTTTCAATTCAAAAGAATACAGTCTGTCTTTTGCTGTCCCGCAAAGCTATGTTTACAAAAAAATATCACTTCGGATTGCTGGGACACTTACTTGCTGCCAGTTAAATATGACTAGCTTCAGCAATTTTAATTTTTTATTTATTTATTAGGAAAATAACCCAGGTTTATTTGAAAAATAATATTCAAATCGCTAATGTACCTAGGGGTTTACGGGTCCCGAGAAATTAAATCGACTAAAAAAATTACCGTATGATTAAACAGTCATGTCTGTTTAATATTATTTTATAATTACTTAATTTAATTAAAAAACCACGTAGGAGATCCTATTTTATCAAAAAAAACCTTAATAATTAGATTATAATTGAATAAATAAAACCCAAAACATATAATATTTGAATAACTAAATAAAGAAGAATAAATTTAAAAATCTTGGGAACTTGCATTCGAATAGTTATGTCGGGATCAAGTGTAACAGATCTAGTCCTTGACCTACAGATGAGATCCTCCATCCAAGCACAAAGCTAGCAAAATCCTCTCCTTTTACTTTTTCTGAAATGGTTGATATAAAAAATCTCTTTGTAAACCTAAAGTGAAATTGCAGCTGCATCTTCAAGTGAAATGTTAAAGTCATACAACCTCCATATTTATACATCACCTTAAAAAAAGGTTCACAACCATTAACTAAAACCAGAATTACTCGTTGAAAACCTACTCCGGGCCTGATTTGCGTACAATATATCTGTAAGCAGCAACCTTCTTCCTCCTGGAAGCTGTATTATCCACACACAGCACCATTTTGCCTGCTTCTCTAGGGGTAAACGAGTTGTGAATGGCCACATCTGAAGCACTTAGCTTCCTTGTCTTCTCCACTGCAATAGTGTAGCTTCCTTCAGCGTTGGGGACGAACTCTGCACTATATTCCAAGTCCCATCCTCCCACTGCCAGGTCCCATGTTATGGCTGCTCCACCCTCTATTCCTTTGATTTGGATGCTCACTTTCTCTCCTCCTTTGACAGTGAACTCCGAGGCTGGTATCTGCGAATCATCTGCTCGACTCAGACCACCGTACTGGACTGGAACATCTTCAGGCCTTATAAACCTGACCAAAAATTGGGAATCTTACCGTTGGAGTCCCCGAGGGTAAATAAGTAGAGGGAGGGTATAAGACTCACTTGTAGAGTGTTTCGGCCGCGTATCCTTCTTTAGAGATCACAAACTTGCTCTTGGTTCTCTGAGTTAGAAACGGACTGAACATGGAGTACAGTACACTGAAGTACCATGGGACGTTGATGAAAATCTAAAAACCAGAAGGAAGATGATGGAAGTTTAAAGATAATCCAAAACCATTATTACAAGACCACAACACCAGCAATGAATACAATAATACTAATTATGTCCATAATCACGAACCCAAAACAATTTAAAATCTCTGCCATCTACATTATATTACCTTTCGAGCCACCATTTCAGGGTAATTGTCTTGAAAGAGTGAGAGTAGGTGATTGGAGGCAACCCTAAGCTCCCTCTTGGGCATGTCCTTGAGATCAGTGACCTGAATAATGGAGTTAACCCCACCAGGCTTGAAATGCAAGAGACTGATCCCTCTCTCCAGAACTTGAATCCTCCATCTCAAAAACTTGTACAGCTTCTCTTCATCACCGAAGGTTCTCTCATACATCTCCTTGTCCCTAAAAACGCCGTAAGCATTGTAGCAAACAGGGTGGCCTTCCCTATCGTAGCCATGCATGTAAGCAACGACGCCCTCGAGTTCCTTGAACCCCAAGTCTTCTTCCCCAACTCCGTCGGCCTTGAACTCTTTCCTCCAAGCGAGACACTTGTCCAGCATGTTGAAGGAGTCCGAAACCCTGAAGTCCCTGGCTCGCAAGAACTTCAACAGAACAACATCGGCTTTCTCGTCTCCGGCGAGAATAGGGACGCCCCACATGGTGCATTCACCACCGTCTTGGCCATACGAAGTCATGAGCTCGTCCTTGAGCTCTCGCAACGCCTTCTTCTCGGAAGATTTGAGATGGGAGATGAAGTAGGTGTCTTCCTTGAAAGGGGAACGGAAGCTTGTGGCCTCCATTAAAGTAGAAACGAAGCTTTTCTTGTAAAGCTTGGGAGAGGCCTCAGGGATGGAAATGGGCGACTGAGCATTCTCCATTATGAGAGAAAGGGGGATGGAATCTCTGTAAAAACGGAAGGGTTTGGTGTGAAATGGATTTGTTTGCTGGATAAGCGTGCAATGAGTGGTATATAAGGAAGAAGAAAACAGTTTGCAGGGGAAGAGAAAGTGACTGCTGCACTGCAACACCCCATGACCAGAAAGAGAAGATTAGTATTTAATCAGAGACACCAGGAGATTAGTAAAGAAAGAGAGGGAAATTGTTACTCAAAATAAACAAACAATCAATCAATAAAGCGCAGAGTTTTGATTTTGAAAGGGGGAGTAGAGTGAGTGGTTATCACGCGCAGGGAGAGGAGAGTGGGGGAAGTAAAGGCGAAACCCGGTGCCTTGCAGAGATGGTGATAATTATTGAGGGGGAGCACGGGATTCAATTGGTCTTCCGGTGGGCCCAAAAAAACAGCTTTATTATAATTTATTTATTTTGCTTTTCTCTTTCTTTAAAGCTTAATTCACACAAACTCTTCTTTTTCTCCTCTGTTCTCTCAAGCTCCTGCATAGGGGTTGGTAATGATTCAAATTTTTTATTTATTTAAATTTGACTCAAAAAATAAAATTCATCCTATGTACTTAACTTTATGAACGTGTGCTCATTCAGATATCGAATCCGATTGGATTTAAAAACTTTGATATTTAAAATTTTGGATACTTAAAATGGGGATTTGAATTCGATCCTAAAAATTGAATACCCGAATTTTTAGATCGGATATCTGATTATCCGATCCTAATATATCTCTTATATTATTTAGAATTCGTCTTTTTTTAAGTAATGAGATTTGATAATATATTCGAAAAAAATCATTTAATAAAAGTAATTTCATTAAACTAATACGTAAATCTAATTAATATATTTAACATAATATAAATTGAATAATCACAAATTAAAAATCAAACATACTTGATCTTTGGTAATGGGTTTAAAAATTAAACTGAATTGATCTATTCAATTAATTGATTTGACAGTTTAATCATATAATTTTAATAAAAAAAGAATAAAACATCAGAAATTTATAAAATTATATTGTTTTATTAATTTTGGATTTTTAAGATAAAATTGATATTTTTCATATATTGGCTTCTTTTATTTTTAAAAATTAAAATATAATTTATCCAAAATTTTAAAATGAAGATTGAATCGTAACGTTCAATAATTACAGATCGATTAAATCATAAGCTAAAAGTTGGACTAAATTTTAATTTTCTTTTCAATTGTATGATTATATTTGTGATCAAGTGTTTTTTTTTTTTTTTGTACAAAATGATGGATAAGCATGTATAAAATTTCACAGATAAGCATGCATAAAGGCCCATTTTGAAAGGCTGTGGAGAAAAGGCGTCTAAAGGCCCATTAATTTTTCAGATATTCGGATAATCTGAAACTGAGATTTTTTTCGATCCGTATCCGATCCGATTATCCTATTTTTTTATTGGATATCCGATCCGAATTATCCGAAAACATTTCAGATCGAATCACCGGGTAAACGGATAGGATCATTCGGATCGTATATTTTTACACACCCCTACCTAACTTGACTCGGCGTTTAGGATAGTTTCGTTCTATCAACTTTTTAGATCAAATCAATGGAGAACTTAATATTATATTTTGAGGGCGTTTTTATTTAAAAAAATATCAAGTTTTCATTTATTAGGAAAATAACTCTCAAACAACATTAATTGAAAAAACATATTTCTCAAACTACCCACATAAGACTATCTCGCATTCTACAAAAACACGTATAAGGACCTCTCGTTTTAAAAGGAGCAAGACCTGTCCGACGTGGAAACACTTTTCAGATAACCCTATTTAATATTAGGATAAATGACCTCGCAGTATGCAAAACGCAAGGTCCATGAGAAATTGAATTTATTGTGGGTAGTATTAAACAAACTTTGCGTCCTCCAGAGCATGAGGTACATGCATTTACAGCCCATAATGCAAGTGTTTATAGGAATGTTCGAGGAGTATTTTCAGTAGTTAATCTAAATTTTTTCATAATTTATAAGATTAGATGCGTAATATTGGAATTTATCTTTCAGTTGAGGTCAATACTGACACATACGAGATATTGTAAGCGGGTTAAAAATCGGGTTGAAAAGGTTCCAAAGCTTGTTTTGTGCATGAAGAAAAAACTAAAATTGTTTGATAGGCATATTCGAGGGGGTTTTCGAGTAGTTGATGTGAAATATTTTGTAATTTATAATATTAGAGGTGTAGTATTTGTAACTTATCTTTCAATTGAGGGTAATATTGGCACATACGAGACATTGTAAGCGGGGTAAAAATCACGTTCAAAATGGTTCAAAGCTTAGTTTTGTGTATGAAAAAGAAGCTAAAATGGCTTGATAGGCATGTTAGGTCAGTATTTTCATAAAGTTAATATGAAAATTTTCGTAAATTATAAGATTAGAGGCGTAGTATTAGTACTTATGTTTCAATTGAGGTTAGTATCATTACATACGAGACATTCTAAGCAGTGTAAAAATCACATTGAAAATGGTTCGAAACCAAAAAAAAATTGAAAACTAACAAATGAATTTTGTTAATTACAAAAGTAGTATAGTAAAAAAGCACAATTAAAATAACATAAATTTAAATACCATAAAATATTATTACATAATTATGGTACATAAATTGCAAACGAAGCAATGTTTTACGCTGTGCTTGATCATTGTTTTGATGGAACGAGAAGTTTTTTGGATCTTCAAAGTTTGAGGAAACGAGAATGTTCCCGAAAAGGCTAGATTTTGATGGAACGGGAATGTTCCATGTACGAGGGAAGCCCTAGGTTCTCGAGTGGAGGTGTGTTATTTGTCATATCAGGGTCACAAACAATAAGAAGAAGATGTCACCAGAAGAGGATGCCTTTTTAGAAATAATAAATTTCTCGAGAAGGTCAGGTTTCAAGGAAGTAGAACGTTCAACATTAAAAAGTTGGGTTTTATGGAAGAAGAATCGGGCATAAAAACGAAATTCGGAACCACTCCCATGACTACAACAACAACATACAACCTCCAATGATATTTTGGTTCGAATTAAGGTTTAGACATGACCTTGCAAGACACGTTCTTCTTGTGTTGTTATTATAAAAGGCACCCACTTCTGGTGGCATAACTTATAGCATCGATATTGGCATAAGAATCTCTAAGTTTCGCATCAAGTAATGCCACTAGAAGAATAATCCCTTAGAAGTAGAGACTTGCATTACAATACCACTAGAAGATGATGTCTTTTATAAACGGGGTTAAACTCAAATTGAAAATTGAGATGATAATGTCACCGGAAGATAATGATTATATAGGCATGGACTAAGCGTTCTGTAAAATGCGATTTATATTGAGATTCCTAACCTGGCAGGGACCTCGCGTTCTCCGCAGAGATTCCTAACGTGACAACACCCCTAGTGTAAACATTTGATTTGTCATGTTAATAGGCCTTACGTTCTACAAGGCACGATGTTAATTAAATTTATATATATAAACGATACAATAATCATATTGGATGGATAACTTTGTAAAAAAAATAATGGAAAGATTTTTTCTGCAACTGTGTTCCATTCCGGAACTGATTTCTACACTTCCTTCAACACACAGATTAAGAAAGATGAGTTATATGATTTGATTTCAACCGAGCTTAAAAAATCTACAACACGATAGATGTCGTCATTGGAAGCGAAAGTGTAATATCCCAAATTTTGACCAGTGACTAAAATGTAAGTTTTGAAAGCTTAGTGGCTAAAGTATAAACTTTGAAAAGTTTAGGAACCGAAATTGTAATTTTTAAAAGTAATATATTTTAGCCTGTAAATGAATAGTTTGGATTAAAACATATATTTTAGTGGGAATTAGATTTTTTGGTACGAGAATTGTGTTAAAAGCTATAAAGCAATAAAGTTCGGTATTGAAATCGAATATTCGGATTGAACCGAAATTTTACGAAAATTTGAAGGATATTAGAAAATGGTTGAAATATTATTTTCATATTTCATATCAGAGAAAATTGGCTCATAACAGTGCAATTTTTCAGATTTGATCGAACAGTGGAATTTTAGTGACTAAAATGTAATTTTTGAAAATTGCATGGCCAAATTTGAAAGTCAAAGCAAAGTTGATTCATATTTGACCAAGGAATATTTTAATGGATGATATGACAATGACATTTGGTAATTTTAAAGATTTATTAAGGGTATTTTTGAGATTTCTCATTAATTGAATTTTAAATTCAATTAATTAAATAAATGCCAAGTGTATTATCTATTAAATACTATAAAACTCAATAGAATCAGCACATTTTCAGCTTCTTCCTTCATTTGGCTCTAAGTTCAAGTCCTAACAAGGTAAGATTTTTATTTTTTGATTTTTGAATACTTGATTTTTGGATTTAGCTATTAGATAGAGAATTAATCTACATGAAATTCTCTATCATTTGATACCAATATTTCATGGTGAAGATGATTATGTGATGAAATTTTATGATTTGGGGTTATGAAGAGTTAAGTGAATTTAAAGAATTGGTTATAAGAATTGATGAAGAACCTAAGGATGCAAATTAATGAAAACAGTTTAGATTTTGAATCTGGCAGTGAGTTTGAAAATTCACCAGAAATTATATAAAAAATATTTGGAGGTTATTTTTATATATTTGTGTTTGTATATCAATCTAGTTTTGTTTAAAATAAACGGAGATCAATTTCAAGGTATATACAAAAAAATATGAATTTTTAATCGAGGAAATGTCAGAAAAACGGGGCAGCAGATTCTGCACAAAACAGATTATGTTGGTCAACTTTGAAAATTCACCATAAATTGTGCAGAATGAACTAGAAGGATTTCTTTATATGGATAGATTTTTATTCGAGTCTAGTTTGCAAAGGAAGAAATGAAATTAAATTCCAGTGTGTATATCAATACAAAATACTGATTCTTTAAAGGTAGTGCAAGTTGTCTGAAAATGGAAATTTTATAATTTAAGTGGAAATGGATTAGAAGCTGAAGACTAATGTTTAAATGTTTGAATATATTTTTGGATTCTTTGAATTGAAGTTAAATGGAAAGATATCATTTTAAATAAATTGGAAATGTTGAGAAGAATTCTAAAATAATTCATTTTAATGGTTAGATGGTGGAATTCGAAAGGTTCCAAAATTTTGGGGACTTGTTTGCAAGTTCTTAAATGAGGAAGTATTATTTGAGTATATTA